TAATATCAAGAAATCGTTTAATATATTAATAACAAATGAGTCGTTTGATTAAATTACAATGCAAGAAATAGTATTATATATATTTGAAGGAAATTTAAATAATCATTGGATTTTTTTATCAGCAAGATATACTTCAATTTATATTATGGCTTCTTAAATATTAGAAAGAATACATGTATCAGGAGTGTATATATTTTTGTATTGTCTACTTTGTTTCCGGGGTTGATGACTTATAAATAAAGTTATGAATAAGTGTCAAGTGTCTTTCCAATCACACTGAAAATGTTACTTTGTAAAACTTGAAGGGCGACGTAGTATTGACAAAAATAAAATTATATATGTATTTTTCAAAAAATAAAATTTTCGCTTTTGATAGAGGAAATCCATAAAAATTAAGTATTTAATTACTTATCTTCATCTAAGGCTTTGATTTCTTGAATTAATTAAAAATTATGTATACGATACAGATTGGCAAGATGAATTTCCTCTGACCATACCGTTATTAGAGGAAATACATAAAAATTAAGTATTTAATTACTTATCTTCAGTCTACCGCACAAATTTCTTGAATTAATTAAAAATTATATATACGATACAGATTGGCAATAAATCGTGGACAAATTTTTCTCTAAAAGTAATGGGCGCACTAAGCTGAAATTTTCAGTAAATGTTTATTCATCATATTTAAGTGAATCATAATGTTTTTGATAATATATATTCAAAAATAAAGATTTTATTGAATGTGCACAAGGTAAATTCCTATTTGCACGGTAAAAATAGCAAGGTTATATTAGAGAAGACATAAGAATTAATTCATAAGAAAAGTTTTCAATACATAAGATTAAGATGAAAATTATCCTAATTCCATTCCTTAATCAATTCTGTCGTCTTTTTAAAAATTTCAACCGGTATATATTATAGGTATAAATCTACATTTTGGTTAATTTTTGGCAGTTTAGCATTTGAAATGAGAAAGTAAATACACACAATACACGAAAAACATCTTTTTATAACGTTACGGCGACACACGGAGAGCAGTGTCATAAATAAATTCATCTATGTTCTACAAACCAACTTTTGCTGGTGGTGTAAGAGACTTTAAATGAATACAAAAGAAAGAAAATATGAAAAATATTCAAACCAGATCTTTAGTATATAAATGAAATGAAAGTTTTCTCATGAACAAAAAGATGGCAGTATTGTATTATATTAAATAAAGTACAAAACATTTTTTTATGGACAATACCACTGTCCACAATGATTCTTTCTAAGATGGTTAAAAACTATTATAAGTATCAGAAAAGATTCTCTTTATTAGTTGAATGATAAAAAATGAGAATGTCTGTAGAAACTTGAAATTTTAATAAATCATAATTTAATGAATATCCATAGATTGTTTTTTATTGGTTTGACATTCACTGATTTATTTTCCTCATAAAATGTTTTTTAAATGTAAAATTTCTAAAACTGGGGCTTACCAACTTTCGTATAAAGCAAAATTGAAACGTGACGTGAAATTAAATAGTTTGTTATCATGTACCTCTACAATATAAGGGGGCTCACAATTTGTTTACCTATGCATATATCTATTTTAAAATTTGTTATGTATATTCATAATTTAATCAAACTAAAAAAAACTAAAAATTTCATTTTATACACCGCATATGTACCAGATTTTTTGATTATAGACATATTTATCAAAAATGTAATGAAATATATACCCTTGAATTACTGTGCAGTGTAGAGACGATTCGTTATACTAGTTTTTCATTATAATCAAATACAATGTTTTCCCTCAGCAATGATCTGATAAAAAAAAAATAGTCAACCTACTCATTCCGCAAGTCAACGATAAGACCATATAATATTCCATATATACGTATTTACTATTTTGTTTAATGACAAAAATAAAATTATATATGTATTTTTAAAAATGTAATCCAAACTTTATTTTTATTTCGTTTTAATACATAAAACATTTTTTCTTGCATTATCATTTTAGCAAATGACCCATTTGTTATAAATATATTCAACGATTTCTTGATAGTAAAAACATAACAAAGGGGAGTAATCAAATGTTGAACCCGCTTTTGATTGGTTAGTTTGGATTTTGAATTTCGAAACTCGAATTTCGAATCTCGAAGTTCGAATCTCGTATTTCGAAACTTGAATCTCGAATGAGCCTTTTGGGCTTTCGTACAAATCCCTTTCTGTGCCTAATTCCTGTAAGACATTTTTAAAAATATGATAAGTATCGAAAGATTTCATCAAAGAATTATAAAGCCTAGAACGATATCAACTATATGTCATTTAATGCATTGTACGCGCAAGCACGTGCATGCACATGCAAGATGATTATGGCATGTTGTTTAAGCAACTAAAATATCTGAATATCGTGAGAATTAATAAAAAATTCTTTACTATATACATTTTACTGTTTTTCAAATATATTGGCCATTTTGCGTATTTCACTCGCGCACATGCATGTTCGTGCATTCATTTTGATAGTACCATAATGTAGGAATCTATTATACCTATTCATATCCTAAATTTTATCCCGTTTCGTATAAAATTAAGAAAGTTGTAGACATTTAAAGTTTCAGCCAATCAGATTGCAGCACACGTGCATGCTTTTCATGATAATTCTTATATATCATGCTGTAGATCCTTTTAATGTATAACCATGTTCAAAATTTCAAAGGATTTTGTCGAAAAACAAGAAAGATATTGAGACTTCAGTTTAAGCCAATCAGAGCTGTTCATAAATATTTTACTTCTTATTTTAAAAAAAGTTTCCCATCTTCTCTGTTTTAGTATCATGGCAAAACGGAGAGGAAAACTGCAAAGAAGAAAGTGAAGCACATAAAGAGTGTTTAAGAAAACTAGGATTTAAGATATAAACATTAGAGGTACAGTAACATATCAAATTGTATAAATTTTTTTATTACAATGAATTATCAGGTGTGCAGAATCAATGGAATGTTTTCATTTACTTTCTCATTTACTTTCAGTGCTTATTGTCTGGTTGATTGAATGGAGAATATGAAAGCTGTGTACAAGTTTTAATTTGTCCCAAGAGTCTGCATATTTTATATGTAGGACTGTGTGAAATTTTGGTATATGTTTTACATAACTATTTATATTATTTTGACTGAGACTAAACTAATAAAAGAAGTTTAACATAAAAAAACCCATTAGGACAGGCTAGTAGGAATGGAGGAGAAACAGCAAATTTATCAGTATATAATTTCCGATAGAAAATAAAGACAGCTGTGTGTCTCATTGTGTGCCATTACTTCGTATCTTTGCAACAGAACTTGTCCGCATTAATTTTTGTATTTGGGAGACTATTTGGGTATACGTAACGTTGGAATATTTTAAAATGCACAGCTAAGGTAAGTTTTTTGTTTTATTCTTTGAACAAAATGTGTTTGTGAAACACTGCTGCTCCGTACGGCAGCTATTGACGAAGGTTTACATTTATCAAATGCGAATCAAATCCAAGTTAAATTGTTGGTATCAAAAGGAAGGACCTTTCACAAGCAATGCTTACGAAATATGAAAGCCCTAGTTCTAGCCAAGGTTAATGTTTTCTTTTTTACATAGTGGATCGAACTCTAAGAGCAAAGTCAAATGGTCAAAAATACTCATTCAAAAGTCTTGTCACAATGAATACACATGTGAAGTATGAAACTCTTATTACACTAACTGTTCAAAACTTATGGCCCAGGTTGAAGTGTGGTGGTGGGGGGGGGGGTTTAAAATTAAGTTAAAATCCAAATTCAAGAGTCAAATTAGGTGGTACCCAAATGAGTTCTCGTATTTTGTAAATTGCATATTCTGTAATGTTTTAATTTCTGAAAATGCAAAATGCCTTACTCCTTCTAATGTCTATGTCGTATATCAATTCTTTCTTTTGTAATTAAATACAAGTACTTTGCAATCTGCCATTTGATATAAAAATTATAGAAACTGAAACTTATCTATAAATAACTTCATTAATATCGCACCAAGAATAAATTTAATAATTTCTAGATCATATCTAACAGGTATATATATTATACCAGCATCTACACATGTACTCAAAATTGCGCTAATACTTTTCTGTGTTTTTCAACAAGGAAGACTTCCTTTCTGTTCAAATGATTTTACTTGACAACATCGCCATTTTAGCTTACCAGAGTCAGACTCTAAAAAAATCTTGTTTTTTAATTTTTATTTCTTTTGGGGTCCATTGAAAATGGAGCTTAGGCGGAACTTCACATACTTTATGCCTGCACAGATATAAGCCGTGAAACAATATTTTCTATTCTGTTAAAGCTATTGTCAATTCTCTTAAAGTTCCAGGGTAACAGTCTAACCTGTAAAGTCTTAAACTTCCTTACCAAAAATTGAATGTTTATTTTTCGGGGTGAAAATACAGTCTATAAATATTTAGTGTCCTTCCCTGTTGAACACCTTCACTGAAAAAAAAACTTAGTGAAAGTCACTGGGAATACTAGTAAATTTACTTTCCATACAATAACTATCTCGAAAGTAGTTTTACTGGGAATTGGGTAGATTTACTAGATAACATTAGTAAATCTAAGAACTTATAAGTAACTTTCACTAGGTATTTAAGTATCTTTACGACCACTACTCCACTTTTCACTATTTTAGCTAGTAAACAGAGTGATTACTAATCACGAAGAACGCTTTACTAGACACACTAGTTAAATCAACTAGGTATTTCTTTCAGTGTTTCTAACTAACCTTTTTAACATATTCAGTATGATACAACTTACTTTTGTAAAGTTTTATGACATCAGTGAGCTTAACAGTACCGACGTCTTCATAATTTGCTTTTAATCAGATAAAATGACCACTTAATTTCAATTGCAATTCTCCTACTTCAGATTATCCCACTTTTATCATAAGTGTTTGTACACAATTAATTTGCTTGGGAAACACATTAGTTTAGCGTATAAATTGTTCACAAATCCACGCCATGAATGAGAAACAAAAAAGTCTCTACATTTAGTATACATCCGTGCGATACTGCTAACTCTTTGCATGATGAATGCATTTATCTGTTTTACCCTGATGATTTTTGTGTATTCAACGCATTGTTTATCCGAATTAACTGACAGCGACTCTCGTAATACAACGGATTCAGGTGGAATCAAAAACTCAGACGTATTTCGTCAGCTTCTGAATCAGGAAACTCTTATTAGGATGAGCATGGGGAAAAATGTCCATGGCCTGATGAAAGACATGGTCACTCTGAAACAATCTTTGGTCTCATCTGAGAGCGAAATTTCCACTTTAAAGCGGACGACGACAGAGTTGAAAAAAGAGTTGGAAAAACTGAAAAAAGAAAACGAACGCATTAGCAGAGAAAACTTGGTCTATAAAGAAAATATCTCTGCCATTCACGAAGATATCAGTCGCATAAGCAAAACTCAGCAGGAATTAGAAGACGATATTGATAAACGAAGACAAGAATTTGAGAACAATGCCACAGAAATGCTTGTTAACATGAATACTGAAGTTCGGTACTTTAAATTGACTGTCTTGAACATGAATGAAAAAGTCTTAAGTGACCTTGAAAAAATCCCGGATATTATCAACGAGCAGTACAACTTGATATCCATGAACTTAAACAGGACTCTAGAATATTATAATACAGCTTTTACTGCCGAAAGCAAGAAATTATTCATCGCAATTTCAGACGTTGAAACATCTCAAACAAATCTTGTTTCCTCCGTCACAGGTTAGTACGATATGCTTTGGTAACATTTGAAATATATATCTCTTACAGATCGTAGAATTTTTAAAATGAATTTTAATTTTTACTTCTTTTAGATGGGATGAACACAAGTATCAACAGTCTACAAAGTGAAGTAAAGCAGTATCAACTAGATTTGCTCAAACTGTCCTCTGCTGTGTCTTCATTACAAGTGTCCCAAATGAACTTGTCCAGAAATGGCTGTGGTAAGTCATATTACTTTTATCATTTTAACTGATGGTATCATTTTTATGGGACTTAGAGTCTATAAACTATAATCATGTAAGAAAAGAAGTTCTTACAAACCTTTTTCTAGACCAATGAGACTGTGAAATGTTAACTTTTTTATTCTCTTGACGGTAAAACCGGTCTTTATGTCCAACCGCCTTTCTGTCAGTCCTGCCTACTTGATTTTCCGCACTTTTTTTCTAAATGCTTGCAGACATTGGACTGGTTTTTGGTATGCTAGTTGATAAATGTAAAAGCATAACTGAAATTGGTTTTCGTAATAAATGATTTCTAATATTGAAATAGAAACGGAACACGTTGGTTATACCGATAATCTAGATTCTTATTTGATACCCGGCAGTCACATTACAGCGTTTAAACCAATGAACTTGTGATACTATATATATATATATATATATATATATATATATATATATATATATATATATATATATATATATATATATTATATGCATTTTCCTCATGTGCAAAATCACTGTGTGACTTTTTCAGTAATGTGACTTTTTCTTGCTCTTGACTTCTTTCAATAGACAATGCGATGGTGAATGGCTTTTATGTAACCTTCAAAACTGGGGTTTTCCTTTTTGGTTTAAAAAATTTATTAATGGATGAACTAGAGGTACATGTATATGGCATGCCAAATTCACAAAAAATGAGCTAAACATAGTTTCACAAATGATAAACTAGGTTTATCGACTTTAAACTATAGTTTACAAACCGTAAACTATAGTTAACGATTCGTTAAGTATAGTTTTTATCTGTAAATTATATTTAACGGCTGTTAACTATAGTTTACAAATGCTAATCTAAGTTTATCTGTCTGTAATAAGCTTTAACAATAGATTTTGTTGATAAACATAGATTCACGTTTGTAAACTATAGTTTACAATCGTAAACTATAGTTAAGAGTTGTTAATCATAGTTTCACAAATCGTGAAACTATATTTATCAGATCGTTAACTACAGTTAACGGTTTGCAAACTATAGTTTACAAATCGTAAAACTGTATTTATCAGATAATCTATGTTTTGCGATCGCAAATAATTAATTTTGGTGTTAAGTATAGTTTACGATTGTGAAACATAGATTATCGCGTTAACTATGGTTTACAGACGTAAAATATAGATTAAAATTGTTTACTATAGTTTACAGTCCGTAAACTATACTTTACAAGCGATAAACATAGTTTATCGACTGTGAAACTATGTTTTGCTCATTTTTGTGAATATGGCGTGCCATACATGTACTATCAATCGATATCCTAATCAAGGCGTTCCAACGGCAGTATCCGTAGTTGTGACGATCTCTAGGGCTTCTTTGAAATTAAGCTTGGTTTCACTTAACAGACGCACCTGAATTCTGTCGACATTTATTCCCAATCTGTCCCGAAGCATTGTCTTCAGTGTTGCTCCAAACGTACAATGTTTGGAAAAGCCCCCGAGTTCTACTACATATTCCCTGACCGATTCGTCTGGTTTCCTCACACGTTTGTTGAACTTTAAAAAATGATTTCGAAAAATTTTGGATGTTTATGGACACGCTCTGATATCTTAAGTTACGCTCGTAAAAAGGTACTCTATATATTTATAGAGTTACTCGTCACAACTCAACCATTGGATCCATAATTTTGAATTCACACTATGTGGCCCAGTCTTTAAGACAATACGTGAATTTTTATGCATGAATATATGAATCTTTAAGACAATACATGAATTTTGACCATTTGAAAAAATTTTACTTGAAAGGAATAATGACCCTTCCTTCCCTTGGTAACTTTGTTTGAATAGGACTGAAGAAAAAAAAGTGAAGTGTTAATAGATGACAGACGACAGAAAGGTTCACCTGAAGTTTGGTTCAGACGAGCTAAAACTTATTTCTTCAAATACAATCAAACCATGTATTCTAGCTATCATGACTTCCGCCCTCCAATTTAAGGAGAAAATGATTTTTTATAATAAAAAATTAAAAAAAAAACAACTAAGGAATTAATATGAGAAAAGGGGAAGAAAGAAAAACAAACTAAAAGTATATATTACAAGAGAAACTTCCAGATTACTAGTATTTCAAAGCAATGGAAGGAAAATCGTATGAAGTATGATATATTAATTTTCTTTTTAAATATGTCAATGCTAGTTTGCAATATTCCTATGTATACATAGTACATTTAAAGAGGAGAACTTTGATATTTAAATCCAACATATTATTTTACTTTTAGGTCAAAAATCTCAAATTGGATTTACAGCTGGAATTACTTCACATAATAGTGGCTTTACAGGAAGCAAAATCGTATTCCCTAAAGTCTTATACAACGAGGGTCAATCGTATGATTCGACCACAGGGATTTTTACTTCTCCCGTTGAAGGACATTTTGTATTCTTTACAACCAGCCATTCGAATACCAAACACCTCGAAACTGACATAATGTTAAACGGCGTCGCAAAAGTGAGGACTGAAGCATATAATACGGGGGATGCAACATATCAGACTGGCACAAACATGGTACTGATGAAACTTCAGCGGGGAGACAGAGTGTGGATTGCGAGAACAGGTGGAACCGGCTACTACACAGAATCGGTACCCATAATGACGTTCTCTGGGTTTATGCTTTAGACGAAAGCATGGCTTGGCTTAAATTTGAAATGAAAATAAATAGGTTCAAATACACGAGGGCTGTTCAATAAATAATGTCCTCGGTGCTCAGAAAGAAGCAAATGACTTTTTTTCAATGATTTAATCTTCATGATTTTCGTATTGATCTCTTTTAATTCAAATACATGTCCGTAACATTTTTTATCCAATTTCTGATTCTTTTTAGAACTCATTTTTGGGTATGACCCTTAGTAAACTGGAAATTGGCAGATCCAATGATTTCATGGATTTGTTTTTTTCCTTCTGAAAGGTGTTTTTTCAAGTTTGGAAAAAAAACAAGTCAAAAGTTCAAAGATCTAGCAAATATTGTAAATGTGAAAAAACAATAACTTTCTGTTGATCCCGAAAACCCCTTTACTCTTCAGGGCATGCGGGTTTGGACGCTGTCATGAAGAAATTCAATGTAGTGGATTCCTGATTCTGAGTCCTTCCTTTAATAAAACTTTCGATTTTTGGGGGCAAAAAATTGCTTTCTAGACTTTTCCAGATATTATACTGTCTCTCCGAATACGAATTTGAACAACAATACCACTAATATTTAAGAAAATTGCATATAAATCTGTCTTTGTGCTCTTGCATACCTTTGCTTTTGTCAGACCGCCGCCGTTTTTATAAAGTACATCTTATGGTAAATTTTGTTTTGATGATTTTAAGCAAGAGATTCATGTTCCAATATCTGTTTAAATATAAAACAAACGTGGATAACTACAATTACTGGTATTTTAAAATAATTGTTAAGATTTTCGTACACGCTGTCGTTTTCACTCATTTTTCAAAATAAAGGGTGACCTTTGAGGACAAAGCTTTTTTTACTTCAAACGTTTCTTTAAAACAGTGTAAACTACTCCCGATATGATGGCTATCAAATTTGCTATGTGTCTTAAAGTCAATCATGCATCATCAAATATTTTTGTTGAAATTTGGCAAACAGTACATAAGTTGTTTTAATTTTTGTTGGCAAGGAAGGTACCCATTTCTGATACCTATTATAAAAAAAAAATTATCATTGAAATCCATCTGATCATTTGTCTATAAATCAGGCATCGGTTGCTGTAAATCACACATATTTCAGTGATTACTTCTTTGGGATGTTTAAGAGGTTTTACAGCAGCTTTAATGTAGCCTTTATTTTCACTCTAGTTTACCGATTCTTTACCATTCATTTATAAAGCAGTGTCTCGAAAAGCCCTTGTTTCCCAGCTTCTCACGATGAAACTATGTGATGAAAAGTGGTTACATAGACTATTATAAATTCAGTAAAGATTTAATAATGATAGAAAGTCAAGTTTAATGTCATATGATATCTGTATTGTATATCACGCAGTTCAGGACATTATTTATTGAACAGCCCTCGTATACTTGTCACTTTTTCAATTACTTCAAACTTGAATTACATTGATCTTTACAGGTGTAATTAACAACTTCCATACAATTTACTTGTATTCATTCGGATTAATTCCACACATTTCAAAATTTTTATAGTGAATAAAAAATTCATAGTGTGATATCAACTGAAATTTAGTTTTGTTTTTAATGATTGAAGAAAATGTGTAGGGATAAACTTTAAAAGGAGAAATAACGAGATAGCAATGAATTAAGTTTTATTTTACAATTTTTTTTCAACACTAGTATATAAACGATGTACAGAAATTTTTTTATATATATACAGTTCATGTTCATAACATACACATCATTCAACTATTACACAAAAATGTGTTTGTGAAACGTTGATACCTCCCTTTTGGTATTTCATGACCAAGGTTTATGTTTTTTTCAAACCTAGATCAAACTTCAAGATTAAGGCAAAGTGTTCAAACGTTAGTTGATTCCCAAAGAAAGGCCCTGTAACTATTAATATGAAATAGCCCTAGTTCCAACCATTCAGAATATATCTAGTCTGAAAAAAAAATTGGGATTGAAGACCAGTGAGTTGCATTGTCATCCACTGAAAAAAGTGCATGCATGTATTTATTGTGCACAAAAAGTGTGCTGTTTCTCGATTTATATATCTCTGTATATTAAACATGTCGTCTCAAATTATTATACACCTCGTGTTCCAAACATATTTTTCACTATTTCTACAACAAAACATTCTCAAAAACCGTTGTTAATAATCTTCCTGGGCTTAAAACAGGGCCCATACAAAATTTTGCCTTTTGATACGACCGTTAAGCTGCTGATCTAAAGCACTCTGATCTGAAAAAATGAGATTGATGACCAGAGAGCTATATTGTGCCACTCATAGAAAAAATACTGTAAATATATTAATTGAATTATGCTTGTTTTTGGATTAATTTCTCCACATTCTTACTCCAACTGTAAAAGAATATCTCAATTTCAAATTTTCAAAATATTCCTGTGTTTCTGTCAACTATTCTCATATATGATATCTGCACAAAGCGCGTAGGACTGAAAAATGGCAGGGTAAATATGCAAAAGTTTTGATGGTCTGAATTATAGACCCATGGGGTTTATAAACAACGGTTATGAAGAATGTTTCGTTGTTAGATTTGTCAATATCCTTTAAGATCATTTGTGATTTATTCTTTGAACAAAATGTGTTTGTGAAACACTGATGCCCCCGTATGGCACTAATGGCAAAGGCTGAAATTTCTCAAATGTGAATCAAATCCACAGTTAAGGTCAAAATTATTGGTATCAAGAGAAAAGTATTTTCAAAAGGAATATTTATGAAATATGAAAGCTCTAGTACTAACTGTTCAAATTTGTGCCAAGGTTAAAGTTTTTTGGGTTTTTTTTTTTACAAAGTGAGTCGAACTCTAAGATCAAAGTCAAGTGGTAAAAAAAAATATACTCTTTGAGAAGTCTTTTCACCATGAATAAACATGTGAAGTATGAAACCCTTACACCAACTGTTCAAAGGTTTTGGCCAAGGTTGAAGTGTGGTATTTTTTTTTTGTAAAAGTAGAGCAAAAACTACATAACCCCAAATCTTCAATTACGAAGGCATAAAAGAACCCTTCGGTTACAAGTAACAATACCATCCCACAGTGAATTCCTAAAAGCAAAGTTTTTCTGCCTTGCGCTACTTTTTTCAAACACTGCAGAGCATAGATTTATGTCCCAGTAAACGAAGTTTCGGGTATAGTGTTTGCCTTGTCCATCCGTCCGTCTGTCTGCCTATTTGTCGTTATGCTTTTATACTTCACATGTGTATTCACTGTAACAAGACTTTTCAGTGAGTATAGATATTTTTGACCTTAGTGTGATCTTGACCTAAGAATTTAACCCATTTTTTAAAGCTTTAACCTTTGTAGCACTGGGGCTTTCATTTTTCACAGGTGTTTTACCTGAAACAATTGAAACATTCCTTTGGGTATTAACACTTTTGACTTGACATTTGACGTTTGTTTGACATTCGAATTTGAGAAAATTCAAGCCTGGTCAAAAGCTGCGATTCATTAGCATCAGTATTTCCCAAACACATTTTGTTTATGATGTTTAACATTCTGAAATTGTTGAAAACTCGCTGATCTATAGCGTTATGGTTTTATATAATTTTCTTTGACCAATATGGTCAAAGACAAATATATAAAACCATAACGCTACATATCTGCAACTAGTTGAAAACTAATGAAGCGATGGTAGACAAACCATCTCTTCACATGCGTCTATTTCTTCATTTAGCTATCTTTATAAATACCTGGCAAATGGCTTTGATTCCAAATATATATGCACTTTTAAAATTATACTCAAAACAATCATACTTATAACTAAAATTGTTCGAGTTAATCCTAACTTCGAAAAAAAAATGCAATTGTCCTGTTGTTAATCCTAACTTTAAAAGAAATATGTAAATGTCTTGTTATAAAGGGTTTTGTATACTGTATATCTTAAATAGTTTTAATTTCTTAAATGTAAAATGCTTTATTGCTAGTATGAGCATTACTTCTATGTGATGTAATCTTTCTTTTGTAATTGAATACAAGTACTTTATAACCCACGATTTGATATGTATATGGAAACTGAAACTTATCTATAAATAGCTTCATTAATTTCGCATGAAGAATAAATTGAATAATTTCTAGATTATATCTAACAAGGTACAAGTACTTTTAAGTTTTCTAAGTAAATGCCAACACTTACACATGTACTCGTAAGTGCGTTATTACTTACATGTATCTGTTTTTATCAACAAGGAAGACTTCCTTTCAGTTCAATAATTTTACTTGGCAACATCGCCATTTCAGCTTACCAGAGCCAGACTTTGAAAAATCTTGTTTTATTATAACCTCTACTTCTTTTGGGATCCATTGAAAATTGAGCTTAGGTGGAACTTTTCATACTTTATGTAGACTATGAATAGAAATAAGCCATGAAACAATATTTTCTATTCTATTAAAGCTCTTGTCAATTATCTTCAAGTTGCAGGGTAACAGTCTAGCCTGTACATTCTTAAACTTTCTTACCAAAAATTGAATGTTAATTTCAGGGGAAAAACAATACAGCCTATAAAAATGTAGTGTCCTTTCCTGTTGAACACCTTTCTAGCTAACTTTACAACATATTCAGTATAATACAACTTATTTTTGTAAAGTTTTTTTTTCAGTGAGCTTAACAGTACCGACGTCTTCATAATTTCCTTTTAATCATATAAAATGACCACTTATTTTCAATTGCATTTCTCCTAATTCAGATTATCCCGTTTTTATCATATGTGTTTTTTACATAATTAATTTGATTGAGAAACCCATTAGTTTAGCGTATAAAATGTTCACAAATTCACGTCATGAATGAGAAACAAAAAATCTCTACATTTTGTATACATCCGTGTGATACTGCTAACTCTTTGCATGATGAATACATTTATCTATTTTACCCTGGTGATCTTAGTGTATCAACGCATTGTTTTTCCGAGTTAACTGACAGCGACTCTAATAATACAACGGATTCAGGTGGAATCAAAAACTCAGACGTATTTCGTCAGCTTCTGAATCAAGAAACTCTTATTAGGATGAGCATTGGG